TCGATGATGTTACATAGCACATATGATCCGCCATGAAATGAGCAATTTCCATTTTGAACCCACGAATGTAATAGCCGCATGTTGAACATACAGATAGTATGTCTGAAGGCCGTGTTTCGGAGCTGATTATGAAAGAGACAGAAAGAGAGAAAGAAAATTAGCCAAATAAACGAGAATAAATACAGAAAATTAAGAAGAATTACAAACCTGATATGTACATATTTTGGGGTGCTGGTCAAGAATACAATATGATCCGAATTTAATTTCGTGTCAGGAGATGTAGGTACAATCGATGACAGCATTTTAGAACCCGATGGAACAACAACTTCATAGCGTCTGAGAAGTGGCATATAAATCATTGCGTCTGCCTGATAGCCACCAGACAAAGCGTCAATTATTTTGTGCATGCAAAAACCCAAATTTTTATTTCGGTCTGCTGCACCCCGAACAACACACTGATGTTTTGGAATAATTTCCGCAATACTAAAACGATTTGTCATCACATAATTCGTGCACTGCAAGCACAAATTCAGAATTTGGTCGATATCTTCAATATTTTCAATCGATGCTGTTTTCATCACTACATCCCGATCGGATTCTGAATTTTGAATTGCTAATTCAATCTTTGAATTTACTATTTCACTTGAAATATTGTCACTGGCCATTTTTACGATTTTCCTTTTGATGTGTGTTGAAATCGAAGAATGTCAACCGAAGTATGTTACAACCGAGCAAAGAATCAATGCGTTAATTTGAACCGCGTTCAACCGATTTAAACATAGCCGAACATAACATAATTATGACAGTTAGGCATCACCGGTATTAACGCGCGGAGACAAAATAATACGAAAACAACGGAAAATACAACTGCAAACTGCTACGAATGGTAGAATGTGCGCGCAAAGCGCAAAGACTGCAAAAGAATATAAAGGGAAAATCTATGTATGTGTGTGTGTGTGTGCACTGGCTTCCATCATGAGCATATTTGCTTTGCTATTTTTTGATCACCCATTTTACGCTAATGTGTATTCTCAGACTAGTCTTTTAAAACCCATGTCCCGGAGTTTTATTTTCTTCATTAATAATAATTAAATGAACGCTATCTATCGTAGAATATCAGATGAGTGAAATTATTAAAATAAATTGAATAGCATTTGAAATGAATGCTCGATTTTGCGCGATTTTGTGTGCAGCACTGGTGCTACACGGCAGAAAAATCATTCAGAACTCGTTGTTCAAGGAAAATATAATTTGAATACAATGTTGATCCGGTGTACTTGCATAATCTTGTACTACAATTTCGCCAGTTCATACCACTTGTCACAACAAATAAACGTCATTGACGCACTGACATATTCGAATCCATTCGAATCCGTTCGAATCCGCTTGAACATCATCAAAATCGATAAAAATGCAGGAATCAAAAGTGCCTTTTCTTGAAGTGCCAGTTTTTCGTCCTAAGGAACAAGATTTTTCAAATTTCTCAAGTTTAATCAGTAAAATTGAACGAGATCCACGAGCTATAAAGGCTGGATTGGCTAAGGTAAGGTGTAACGATTACGAGCAAATATGCTACACATACAATGTGCAACAAAAGTACTGTAAATTACATTTTTAGCGTTTTTGCTACAACATTTTGATCAATTTCTTTCGTGTTAATTGGTTCGTACTTGTCACGGCTTGTCAATCGTTTAAATGTACATTGCTGATCTAAAGTTCGAATATGATTGATTACTATTTATACAAAATTGGGATTTTCTCCAAATAAAGTATGCATATTTGTTGTCAACGGTTGTCAACTCGTAAATGTTATGGAAAAATAAAAATTTGACATAAATGGGCCCATCGTTCTCGATATTCGAATCACATGATCTGTTTATCGAAAAATTTCTGTTTTTTGTAGAAATATTTTTTGTTTTCAATATATGATTTAACTAAAATTCACTAACTATAAATTTTTAACAGATCATTTCACCTGTAACTATCAAACCAAACTTGGTACATGGAAATTTCGTCCTCAACAAATGTGTGGTTCAGAATGTGGAACGATTCGAAAAAGGCATGTTCATGCTGAATTTTGATCAAGAGTATTCGTTGACGCTCTCCAAATTCAAGGATTACATTGCCAAGAATCATGTCCCCATCGATGGCAATGTAGAGGACTTATTTTGGCGGGATATTTTGAAACGAAACACAAAGGCTCCAGTTTATTCTATCGACAACGACAAATCCCTTTATCCCGACAGCTGGCCCTATTGGCGAATAAATTCACTGTCTCAAGAGCAGTCAATTATTCATCAAGATGGAATCGAACTCAAAGGAATGAATACATCATATTTGAACTTTGGCATGCAGTTCACTTCTTTTGGCATGCACCACGAGGACAGTAACCTCGGGTCGATGAATATCCTTCAAGGTGGCGAAGTAAAAACTTGGTATGGTGTGGCATCAAAATATGCACCGAAGCTTGAACAATTTGTGAATCAGTTCACACCAAAAAACATTGATTGCGACTACATTATTCGCCATAAAGGCGTCCTTGTTCCTCCATCTGTGCTTGAATTCAATAAAATTCCATTCAGCAAGGTAAGCAAAGTCTCTGTATTTGAGACAGTCTTCTATTATTTTTGAGCTCGTTTCTCTTCATTGATTCCTGGATTTTTCGTTCACTCATTTCACTTCAAATTCGGTTGATTTTCCTTGTCTTCCTTTGTAGAGATGTCACCCAAAATGATAACAATCATTTTACAAAGAACCATAAGCAAAATCAAGTGCCAATACATTGGTTTTGATGGCCTTGTTTGGATAGAGTCCAGATTGAAGTGAAATGAGTGAACTAAAAATCCAGGAATCAATCTTCATTTCTTTGCGCATGGCAGTAGCCAAGAGCAATTCCAAAACAATCGGACAAGCCATTCGAGTACTCCCGTAACAAAATTGTTCACTCATTTCATCATTTTTCATTCGGTCAAGTTTCCAAATGTGTGCATTTACTTGATTTCTCTTGTTTTTTTTCATATTTTTGATATCGATTATCTACAATTCACAAAAAATCGTGTCGCATGCCATTCCTGATTTTTTCGCATTTTTCTGATTTCTTAGGATTATTCTTGACATCACTGTGATAAAATCATTTATGTTTATACTTTTAATTTGATATAGGTGGAGCAAAATGTTGGTGATATAATTGTCACACTTTACAACAGTTATCATCAAGGATTCAACAACGGATTCAATTGGGCAGAGTCTTCCAATTATGCTACTCCCAAATGGATGATATATTATAACATGACTACGCTGTGTAACTGCCCGTGAGTTGAAACTCTTAAATAAATTTCGATTGATTTTTTACTTTGTTCTAAAATGCAATATTATGTTATTTAGATACGGAAAGGAAGCTCAATCCAGACATGATCTCTTAGGCGAAGTCATTGAGAATTGGAAGGAATCAACGAGTAATTCTAGGTCTGCTGCTACGGATATGGAAACTAACGCTGGAACACGATTCGACAATTTTGATCACTGGGTCGAATTCGACGGTAAAAAGTCAAGAAGTCGATGTAAGATGCCTGGTTGTGTTGGATTTACTCATATATTCTGCTCAAAATGTCGAGTTTATCTCTGCTGCAATCTTGCACGCAATTGCTTTCGTGTCTATCACACATCATAAATTAAGGTCTCGCTCCTCCTTTTGATAAAAAAGGATATATTTTTTCTGGGTATAATTTAATTAATTTTAATATCATAAAAACAATCTAAAATAATTGCGAAATGACAATTAGCTTTAAATTGATCGAAATCACAAAGTCATTTATTTTACGAGTCTGGTAAAATATCGAGTTTTTACGAAGAGAAATTTTAAATTATCGAATTCACGTTTGACGAATATAATTTAATGTAGCATATGTGCTATATGTGTAGTTACATTGAAAAATGATAAAAACCAGTAAAAATGTATACATCAACAAATAAATAAAGCAGTCAATTTTCATTTTTAAAAACTTCCCGTTTTTTATTTTATCTTAAATTTAACATAATTTTCAATTTTTCATGTGAAAAGCAACGAAGCAGTTCCTTTTACTATTGTAGCATAAATACTTGTTGCATTTTGTGCAAATCGTATGAGTGAAATTCGGGCAAAGTGGTAATTTGCAACGGCTGGCAGATGGTTTGTTGTCATAATGTGGCCAATGTGCTTTTTCATCATATCTAGCAGTCTCAAATGCTTCTTCGTCATCCGCAATAATTTTTTGGTCTGCTTTCAAGTTAGAATTGTCCTCATCAATTTTTCCCAGTGGTTTCCGATTTTTTGGTTTTGGTTTTTCCCGAAGGTTATAGAGACATTTTTGCTTCATATAATGCACTTCACTTTGTGGCATTTCTTCACATTTTCGTTTATTCTGATTAATATTTGAAGCTGGGAAATGTCAAAGTGATTCATAAATAAATGATTAAAATATTTTTAAATGCATAAACATACAATTTAGATGATCTATCAACTGAATCGATTCCTCAACTTGTATTCTATTTGCGATATGGTTATTGTCTTCTATTTGAGATATGGTTTGCTGTTTTTCGCTCTTAATTCGGCTGTCGATTTCTGATGCTAGATTTCTCAAAACATCTGTGTCCAACATGTTACATTGATAGAACAAACTACTTTTACCGGGACGAAAAAAAACATGCGTTTCTCCCAATTTGAAATCGTGTGGTTCATAACCAAGAGTCAAGAGTAAAAGTTCTGCCAGCTTTCGTTGATTCGTAGTTATCTCTTTGGATAAATAGCTATCAAAGTTCGGAAGTAATTTGATGTATGATATTCGGGTTGGATAACCTTTTTTCATTAAATTAATATATGGCACGATACTATTTGCTTGGAGTTGAGACTTAACGATTTCGTATTCAAATAAATCGACGATATCATCATTGTTCGGCTTGATACATCGAATGAAGTGAGAATCCTAGAATTAGAAATAATATACAAAAGCCGTTTATGTAAACTATTCCAAACAAAAAATTACGTTTCCATCTAGTTGTGACATTAGCTTGCCCAAATCATTCTTCAAACAAAGTGTAATTGATTTTGAGTCATTTGGATGATTCAGCAAGTCTGTATCCTTAAAATGTTTCAAAGACTTGCTAATTATATCCAAAATGGTTGTTGACACAAATTGTGTGTTTTTCTGGACAAAATTCTCCTGAAAATAACAAACAAGCAACTTGCATTTATTTTTTTACGATTTTTTTTATAAAATGGATGAAAGATGTTCACATACCGCTGAATAACAGACGTTTTTTGAGAAATGTTTTATAACAAAACTAGCTTTGTTGGTTTCTTTTGAAATTTTTGGCAAAGTAAATGCTGGATTTTTTGAACACTTCGTTATAAGGTTTTGAAAAAATGTTTCATTCGATGGTTTGCGTTTTTTGCTTTCGTCTTCTAGCAGTGACCATATTCCATTTGTTTTGTCTTCAAAAAGATCTATAAATCAGACATTATATTAAAAAATGCTGTAATATTTGTTGAAGATTGAACAGTGGAAAATACAAATTAAATTTACCCAAAATCTCTCTGTTATCTAGATAATTTACATCTGGAATATGTATACCATCATCGGCATACCACTCTAATTCCTCTATAATCTGCTTGCGTATGCAAAATTGTTGAACTGTCTCATTTATGTAGTTTATACATATCTGTTCAAAGCAATTTTGACCCATAGTTTGACATTCTGTAATATTTTTAATTCTGTGAAAAATAATCAGGTATAAATTTGTGATTTACGTAAAAAGCTATTTTCATACCAAAACCCGCAATGTCCAAAATCGCAATATATTTCGAAGATACTGACTCTGAGTTAGTTCTGTTCATTTTACCGATTAAAAACTGAAAAAGGCTTTTATAAATTGACTTCACCATAGAGTCTCGAGTTCTCATCGCATTACACGAATTCAGTGGCATTCTGAAAACATGCTTCGTTAATGAAATTATAAAAAAATTGGTAATAAATTATATTTAACTTACGTAATACAAGAGGTTTCAGCAACAGTTTTTAATTTTTGTTTCGTTAGTGCCTCAGATAATTCATCAGAATCCAATTTGAGTAATCTGGCAGCGAAATTTAAAGATGCAACGTTTAATATTTCAGCGTGTTCATACGAATCATCACTGAATTCCAAGTTGCATAGGTGTAGAATGGCAGCTAGTATTCCATATATCATTTCTTTTGCAGCTTTAGATAAATCCATTTCATCCAAGGAATGATTTAAATCGTCAAAGTTATATGGAGACAAATGGTTGGCATTCTTCGGTGCTAGAACCTTTATATAAAAATGTTTAGAACCAAACGTATATTTGATGTAATAAATGTATGCGTGTACAACGTTAATTAATTTCAAGGTAATTTAAAGCAGATTTATGGAAGACTCACCCTGAAATTCTGATCTATTAGTCCCAAACTATCCTTTAAACTGATTGGTGCATTAACAGTGAGTAAATAAAAAACATGGAAGTTGGATCCGAATGTAGTTAATCCGCATAGACGACTTATTTCAAGAAGTTGATAGGACGTATATATGCTTGATACTTCATTTTTGGAATTGTACTTTATCTAGAATAATCAGGAAAATGCATATAGCATGATTTGCCGGCGAAATATACAAATCTTCAAATACCTGTAAAAACTTGATGAAACGACTACTGTTGGAATTTTCGGGTGTCTCGGCGTTTCCGAAAATAGCCAATAATTTTGCTGAAGTAGCAGCACGTTTCATGATATACTCGCGATTTGGATTGCTATTACATATAAACTGTGTGAGATGGTGTGTAATTACTGTTTTACCCGCACCAGATTCCCCCGTTACAATGATACACTGCGGTTTGTTATTTCCATGCAAAGCATTCATAGCATCAGTACCTGCACAAAGAAATCATTATTATAAGTTTACGTAAGTTTAAATATGTCTCACACATTCATTGCCACTGCACTATTTACCAATAGAATATATGTGGGGCGGCATCGATCCTCTAGGCTTCAATTGATAAGCTTCCATATTTTCTCTGGAGAACAAATCAAGTGTTTTCATCGGGTTTATTGCAATCAACAACTTTCCTGTAAATGTCTTTGAAATAACGAAAATCGAATATAAAATACATTTACCTTTTTTCACAACTATTTAAAACTTACATAAATTGCACCACGGTCATAACGAATTTTCAGGTTTTGCAACAAAGCATTGTCAATGTCATCGTCATCAATATTTACTAAAAAATATCAGGGAAATATAGTATTCTGATCGATTTTGATTATATCAATTTTCGCTTACAATTATCATCGTGATCCTCCTCCATTTTTAATTTCCGAAATAATTCGAAACAAAGCACTTGATACGATTTTTGAAAAACTCTGCAATCCGCTGCAACCAAACTGAACCAAACCAAAATCTAGTATAAAAAGTGTTCGTATTGAAACTAACAGTTAAACTGACACCATACACGAACACAAAATGTCATTAAAATTAATGGGCTGCCATATTTAAATTTGAAAAACCGATTAACATTGAAGCGACCCGAACCGAAATTGCAAAATTCGTATTCAAATATCCGCAAATATCAGCCAAGTTATTTATAAAATTTATAATTATAATCAAACTAAATGATAAGAGTGTCAATACGTCTGGTGAATCATATCTTTAATATATGTTGTTTCGATTTTTGTCTAAAAGTCGCCAAAAATTCATATGTAGCATAAGTGCTATATAAAAATGCTAAATATTTCAATAAATTCTTTACTAAGTTAAAATTTTAAGTTTCAAACGGTTTTTAATTATTATAAAGCTGAATGAATATTTAATACAAATTTTTATTTCAATGCATTAAAGAAAAACGAAGAAAAGAAGATTAAATATTTACGTAAAAAATGCGGTTCATATTTTACGGGTCATATTTACCCATGAACCGGTAGATTTTGCTTCATATCTGTACATATTGCACGCGCCAAAAGTATTTATCACGATTTGTCATTATGCTTCATCTCGTTTCATCTGTATTCTCCTCAGAGCGCCTCAGAGTATATTTCAAAACCCGTTCAGCCCACAAACTATTTTTCAGTGGTTTTTTTGTGTAGTTAGACGTTTTATTTTCACTCAGATTCTATTCAAAGTACTTCACAGATAATGGAAATTGATAAAAGTAAGTATTTTCATAACAATTTGGTTTAGTTTGCTCTTCAATCAAATGAACAGTTGTGCCGAGTTGTGCACTCAGTTTATGGACGAATGTTACAGTTGTTTTTCATACGATGCATACAAATATTTTTTAATATTAACGAATATTTAAGACTACACAATTTTTAAAAATATATTTTATACATTTAAAACAAAAACTTGCAATGTTCCATAATTATTTTTGCGCAAATTCTACCTTGCAAAGTACAGCACTTTTGTAGCATTTGTGCTACATAGTGAAATTCAGTTGTATACACGGAACACGACAACACATCAATTTTCAAGTTCAAATTTCAATTACACGCATTGAAAGTTTGATCGAGTTTGATTCGATAGCGTATAATTCAAATTTGAATTTAAAAATATTATGTCGTCATGTACCGTGTATATATTTGAATTTAGTAGCACATATTCTACACATGTAAACTATACTTTACAAAGTGGAATTTGAGAGAAAATGGGGGAAAATAATTATGGAAAATGGCAAATTCTCGTTTTTAATATATAAAATATATGCGTAACAAGTGCAATGCCTTGCTACATATGCTGTATTATATACTATGCATCTGGAGTTCACTATGTAGTACACATTCTGCACATGTAAACTATACTTTACAAGGTAGAATTTCTGATTTTTCAATGGAGAGGTTCCTCAATTTTTCTATTATACTGGACTCGAATAGCTTGTCCGATTGTGTTTGAATTGCTCTTGGCTACTGCCATGAGCAAAGAAATGAAGATCTGAGAGTTTGGTAGCAATCTTGAACGACTTTTATTATTTTTGAGCTCGTTGCTATTCATTGATTCCTGGATTTTTCATTCACTCATTTCACTTCAAATTCAGTTGATTTTCCTTCTTTGTAGAGATGACAACAATCATTTTACAAAGAACCACAAGGAAAATCAAGTGCCAATATATATTGGTTTTGATGGCCTTGTTTGGATAGAGTCCAGATTGAAGGGAAATGAGTGAATGAAAAATCCAGGAATCAATGAATGAAATGGGCCCAAAAAAGACAGAAGTTCTTCGAAAATCGCTACCAAACTCTCAGTTCCGCATTTCTTTACTCACGACAGTTGCCAGATACAATTCCAATACAATCGGACAATCTATTCGAGTACTTCCCAAACAAATTTTTTGGTCCACCTTCAAAAATCAGTGAAAAATTGAAGATTTTATTCTGCAACTATGCTTTTCTTCCGATATAACTGCTATTTGGATATTGGAATTTTATTATTGTACCACAAAAGTTATTTATGCCAAATTCCAAGTAAATTGGATGAAAAATTGAGGAACCTCTCTATTGAAAAATTGATCATTTTTACTTGTAAAGTATAGTTTACAATACAATGCATCGAGCGTCATGGTATACTTAATCAGTTTATTTATATTTCCGTACAGACTTTGAACCAGGGAATAAGACTTCTATTCCAGTAAACACACCAACACCTACACAACATCCGCAAGCTGCACCACCACCACCACCACCACCAGCTCCTCCTCCTCCTCCTCTTCCAGTTACATCAAATCCACCAACGTCAAAAGAGCGGATGAAAAAACTGAATTGGCAGGCGATAAAAAATCCACCAAAAGATTGTTTTTGGGCAAGTCTTCCGAGTGTAGCTCAAGATAGTGATATTTTTGATGGTTTGAAACAACGATTTTCACTTCCACATGTTGATACCAATGAAAGTTCAAGTTCAGGTGCAAAGTCAATTTCTCTGCGAGTTTTGGATGGGAATACTGCACAGAATTTATTGATTTCTTTCCATGCCCTGTTTAAAACTGCAACATACGAGCAAATCAAACAGGAGATTTTACGTTGTGATACCTCCAATTTGAATTCAACTTTAATTGAGACACTCATCAAGTTCTTACCACAACATAAAATAGAGAAACTTTGTGAAATGAACAAGAAAAATGTTGAATTGTCAAATGTGGAAAAGTTTGTTGCACGTCTTGGAGAGGTTGATCGAATTGTACCTCGCTTAAATTGCATGAACTTTAAACTTTGTTTCAATGATTTGGTTCAAGATCTTGAACCTGATTTGAAGGCTGGTACGACTGCATGCAAAGAGATTATTTCAAGCAAAAAATTTGGTGAAATCCTCAGCCTCATTTTAACAATCGGTAATTTTATGAACTCTGGACATGGTAAAGCATCCGGCTTTGATTTAGAAGTTTTGAAGAAATTGCACGATATCAAAAGCGCAAAACACAAACAGACTCTTCTACATTTCATAGTGAAAACAATTCAACAAAAGTTTCCAGAATTGTTGAATTTTGGAGAAGAAATAACTCATGTGGATGATGCTGCAAGAATATGTTTTGATAAGATTAACGAAACAATTCAAACCATAGTCACATCGTCACAAAAGCTGCAAAAGGAACTTGAATATGGCCATGAATCCAAATTACCTGAGGATAAGTTTGTCGAGGTGATGAAGCCTTTTTCATTGGAATGTGATAATCAGGTACAACTTCTAACAAAGATGTTCAACGAAATGCACAATAGCTATACCATAGTTGGTAAACACTTTGCATTTGACCTAAGCAAGTGTCCAATTGAAGAATGCTTTTCGAACATCAAAATATTCAAGACACAATTTTCAAAAGTATTGAAAGAAATCGACATTGAAACGAAAGAAATGGCATGTCCAACAAAAAATAGTCAACTGGTCGATAAGCAAAAGGAACCATCATCTGCCGAAGCAGGTATATTCAAATGTTGCAAAATGAAAAGTTATATTCTAAATTGTTTTCAAGAAATATTCGTTGCACAAATTTTATTTCTATGCCTTTCTGAAATTAACATATTATTTTCCGTTATTTTCTTGTAGAAATAGCTCCACTAACCATGAACTCTTCATTGGACACTCATGAGTCCCGTGAATGTGTAGTAAAACTGCACCTATCAACAAAAACAGGTTTGTATGCCATTAAGTTCGATAGTACACATTCTGCACATGTAAACTATACTTTACAAGGTAGAATTTCTAATTTTTCAATGAAGAGGTTCCTCAATTTTTCTTTTATACTGGACTCGAATAGCTTGTCCAATTGTGTTGGAATTGCTCTTGGCCATTGTCATGAGTAAAGAAATGAAGATCTGAGAGTTTGGTAGCGATCTTCGAAGAACTTCTGTCCCTTTTGAGCCCATTTCATTCATTGATTCCTGGATTTTTCGTTCACTCATTTCACTTCAATCTGGACTCTATCCAAACAAGGCCATCAAAACCAATATTGGAACTTGATTTTCCTTGTGGTTCTTTGTAAAATGATTGTTGTCATCTCTACAAAGAAGGAAAATCAACTGAATTTAAAGTGAAATGAGTGAACGAAAAATCCAGGAATCAATGAATAGAAACGGTTAGAGAAATTCGGTTTAGAAATTCTGAAATTAACATATTATTTTCAATATTTTCTTGCAGATATAGTTCCACCCACCATGAACTCTTCATTGAACACTCATGAGACCCGTGAATGTGTAGTAAAACTGCACCGATTAACAAAAACAGGTTTGTATGCCATTAAATTCGATAGGATATATTTTTTTGAATTACACAACCATATTAACACTCTGTTTAAAATTGTCAGAAATCGCAGCTGTTACTCGGAAACCTTCTGGAATACGTAAACGTAAACATACCCGAAATCAAAACGACGATGTTGAACCTGAACCTAAACCTAAAAACGCGCGAGTTCTACGAAGCCATAAACAAGCAGAACATTGATGATGAAAAATAAAATATGCCAATTTAGAAAATATTCTACTTTGTTTTTATTCTTATTAAATTTTAATAAATGTGGACCACTTTATTCTAAATTACAATTCAATTCATTTCGATTATACAATTACGGTTTTTCTTCATGTAATTATAGCGTCAATTTTTGATAATAAATAAATAATGTTTAGTGATGTCAAGTGTGTACAAATGTATATGGTGTCAAATTCAAAATGAAAATGGAGAAAATATCGTAGTATATAAGTTAGATGTTGGTCAAACTTTACAATAAACGAATTTTAGCGAATTTTAGTCATTTACGATCATTGGTCTCAATGCCGTTATGTAGCATATTTACTACAATTCAGTACAATTCGGTCAAAATTTACAGAAAAAATTAATCACTGATCTAAATGAATTCAAATTCATCAAAGTTTGGTTTCACTTGAAGTTTTGTTTTTCGACGGTTTTGACGTTGATGTAACACAATGTTGGCGTTGGGGTTACACACATCTTGAAGACTCGCCAAATCCTCAGATCGAACCTTTATCGTTTCATCAACCGATTTTCGTTTTGACGATGTCACCTTCTCTCCAATTATGCGCGTTGGGTTTGTGGTTGACTTAGCAGTTCTGAGTATTGGTGTCTGTGCACTTGACTTCTCTTGACTGACGATTGTGGTTTTTTTGTTACCAATTTGAGCGCTCAAAGATTGTCCGCAACGCATAATCTCGACGGTTCCGACTTGTTTTGTTCCACCTTTTTTCGTTGTCCGTTTCTTCGGCTGCTTCACTTGCTTTGTTAACTTCTTCTGTTTTGCTGGTTTAATCCAATTTTTTGTGTGATAAGCCCAAAAACAATTGCGCGATAGATTGCAGCAGAGATGAACTTCACATTTTGTGCAAAAGGCGTGTGTAAAGCCCTTACAATGAGGCAATTTGCATCGAGTCCGTGAGTTTTTACCGTCGAAAGCGACCCAGTGATTGCACTCGTCGTACCGATCCACAAATTGGGATTTGTTCATTTTGTATTCAGATTGGGATTTGTTCAACAAAGTTTAATTTTTAATTTTTACGGCACATATGTTTATGGAAAACAACTCCCGACAAAACGAGAAAAAATAAACCTCACTTCAATTTTATTTTGACTATTCAAAATGTCAAAAATATGAACAACAATTAAATAAAAATGGTGGCAAATGCTAATTGTACTAGTTTCAATCAGTTTATTCTAGTACGTTATATACTGGGAGATCAACAAAACATGTGTAGCACCAATGCTAAACGTAAAATCAGGCAAAATTGAACATTCATTTAACATTTCATTCAATTTATTTAGATAATTTTTGTATAGAAAATGAAGTTCCTAGACATGGGTTTCAATGGCCTAGTTTGAGTAGAATTTACAATGGCGTGAGAAAACAAATTGAAAAATCCAGGAATCATTGGAACGGAAAAGTGGCAAAAAGTCACTTATCTTAACGAGTTTTAGATTCAAATAATGTTCATTGAAAAAGTAATTTGAAAAAAAACATTTGAAAAAAATGCGAAATTAATATTCAAAAACATTTACAGGAAATCATAAAGCAACTGAAGATATTTTTCATTTTTGTTGGGAAACGTAATAGATCGTAATAGATACTACGTGGGGCGCGTAGTCCTTGTGGCAGCACACAGAACATAACTACGCGTTTCCGGGCCCCGATGATTAAAGCATCGAATGAGACACGCGCGCTCTGAAATTGCGCATTTATGGCTTTTACTTCTTGACACTTCCACTTGATTGACAGCAGTAACGAATTAACGCGACAAATTGGCTGTCATTGAGCAAAGCAAAGGCTTGTTCACACTGAGTGTGACAGCCATGATATTGAAGGAGTTTTAAATGTTCACAAAGAAGAACTATAAAGACGAAAATACTTCAGAATGAATGAATTGTTGGTTTTTTTCTATTTTATGCTGTTGAAATTTTTGCCAGTTACGAGCAAATAGAACAAAAACTTGGAAAATATGCCAAAGCTCTTCTATTTCCTCTAAAAATTATTCCATGGAGATTCATTGTTTCGATAGAATTGTTAGCCAAAATTCTTTAGTCTAGAATTCAAAAAGAAAAACGGTTGCTTATATTTTACAATGTTTATTTATTGAAAATTAAAAAAATCTTTGATTAATTTGAACAATATTGGATTTAGTGCGTGAAAACTGTTATCTAAGGATAAATTGAAAGAGCTTTACCATGGTATGAGTTAAGTTCATATTTTTTCAGCAGTATTGAATGAATTAGTAGTTAGTTTTAACCTTTTTGCTAAAGTTATCTTAATTGAATGTTTCGAAATCGTTTACAATAAATTTGAGTATAGAAATGTTGTTCTGTTAAGGATTTCCAAATAATAGTAGCTTTGTAGCTTATATATAATTTATGGTTGCGTTTTAGGAATAGTTTGGTACCCGTGTGATGAATTCGCATGTGCAACATCAGATGTAATTTATCGTACGTCGAGTAGCTCATGAACAGATAGCAATCGTTGCGCAGGCTTTTGCACTTCAATTCATGCAGCTTCTTTTCCACTTCGCCAGTGAAGTTTCGAGTACAAACCATGCATTGGTATTTTACTGGGCGAGGATTTGTGTCAACAATATGCGCTATAAATGGAAAATATTCAGCACTGTATGCTCTAACGGCATCTATACGGTTTAGTTTGGAAGTATTTGTAAATGCGCTTGTTATAAGGTTCTATTTTGTCAATAGGGATTCAGTATTGGACCTTTTTACATTTTCACGTGATTCGAAATAAAAGATAAAAAGAAATTTGATTATTTTTTCATGAAAACACCAGTGTTAATTATTTTGTTGAACTTTTTATTAATTTTGTTCATTCTCTCATAGTTCAACGATTTCTCAATTTTTTTTTCGAACATTTTGTTTCTTCTTCAAAGATACAAACACATTCCACTATTTACTAAAATTCCACCAAAATTTAATGAAAAAAAAACTAATTTTATGTTTTCTTTTGGACTTTTTCGTTCACTAGGCTCTGGTGCTCCAGCTAATATCGTTTTGGGCCGTACTGATGTGCAACTAGCGACCAAACCGCGACCATTGACCGGTTAGTTTTTCTTTCACTGAAATACAATGGAAAAAAACCAATTTTATGTGTTCTTTTGGCCTTTTTCATTCACTAGTCTCTGGTGCTACAGCCAATATCGTTTTGGGCGGTGCTAATGTTTCGGGTGGTGTGCACCAAGACCAAAGTGCCATTCAGCCAGGAAGAATTCAACGCAGACGATCATCGCTAACTCAACGACTTACATATAAAAAAATTTCATGCATTTTTTGCACTGCTCTCTTTGTTACATCAACCGATATAGTTGCCTGCGATAGTTGCATTAAAAAATTCGATAAAAAATGATGATGCAACAAGGAGAACAGTTCAATGAACTCTATTTTTTTTTTCAAACAATATAATTTTATACCAAAAATGATCACATTCACTTCCCATATATTAAATTGAATAAACAGCGATTTGATACTTTATTTCAATCGAAACTATTTATTTAGCCAGATCTTGGCGTTATGTTTTGAGAGAAATGATGAATTCATAATAAAACTCTACATTTATTGTTTGATTCCCAGTGCGCAATGCGTGCCTATTTTATGGAATAGTTTGTACACATTTAGGCTCAAATAGATTTGTAGTACATTTGATTTGTGTGCACAATTGTGTCTAAATATTGTGTATATACATTTAAATACATACAAAGTTTTTGTGCATAATTGTGCACATACAAAATATGTATATTTTTTATACAAATAGATGCACATTTCGAAGCACAACTGTGCACACGAATTTGGGTACAAATGTGCATAAGAATTATGCACGCGCTTCATATAAAATCATCGTTACAAGCGTGTGCACGCGCTTCATACAAAGTTTCGTTACGTTTTGCGGACTGGGTTGACAAATATCTTACCTTACACACCTAGAAAAGTAGCAGTTTCTAAACCAAATAGCAAATTATCTATTGATTCAATACTTTATTTCAATCCGCTCGGACAATCAGTAACTGTTAATCAATAAAGTTTAATAGATAGTCAATTTAATCCGTTCCAAAGGGAGAAATTCATTAAATGCCGATTACTGTTCATGCAGTGAAGAAGAACAACATACTGGGCTGATTTTCGGCGATTTTTTTTTTTTTTGTAAAATCAAACTATTACCGTTTCAAATTATTAAAAAAAATTCAGTTCTAAACAGAGCAAAAATATGGTAGATCAAATTTTATTATAATCAATTGAGTTCACATTTAATAAATAAATTCTTGTTTCTTAACAGAACAGCTCCAATTCAGATTCAAATTCAAATTCGGGTGTTCAGTGTGAAGTTGTTTGCAAGTGAGTCGACTGCTGTCAAAAGTGTCAGCTCACAGATGTTCCGACACTTACACACATAAACCATTTATGAAGTGTCATCACGGGACTTAAACATAGTGCCGTGACTTTCCCTCTTTAAAAGGCCGCTTTAGTAGCGTTCATATGCCGCTTGAATCGCTACCATCGCCGCAAACAAATCCGTTATGAATCTGACTTTTTTTTAAATAAAAAACATCTTCGAATAAAAAAAAAGGTAAAATAAAATTGTAAATTCAATTTCTCAACACACAGTTTATAAAAAAAAATTATTTGCATCAATAAAACTTAGAAAAACAACAATTATTCTACTGCAAACGATTCCCATTTGAAGTTTGAAACTTCGAAACTAACAGCGACATCTTACAAAAATCCGTTACAACACCCATTCGCCATATTGACAAGTGACAAGTGTGTTGTTGTTTCAAATTTCAAGTGGGAATCGTTTGCAGTGAAATAATTGTAGTTTTCCTAAGTTTTATTGATGCAAATAAAATATTTTTTATAAACTGTGTGTTGGGAAATTGAATTTACAACTTTTTTCTACATTTTTTTCATTATAAAATATTTTTGGATTATTTTGTTTTGAAAAAAGTCAGATTCATAACGGTTTTGTTCGAAGCGCTGAAAGCACTGAGAACTTTTTTTTTGGTTCAATATCAACCGACTAAAACGATGCCTAGGGGATATGCTAGCCCTTTAATTTTTATGATACAATTTGCAATGGTCTTTAACTGTTTGACATAAAGTATCTTGACATAAAATATACATTTTTCATTACTTAATATCGAAATAAGACATCATTTTGAGTTGAATAAAAAACATTAATATATACTCACAAAAAATGAATCCGGCGATTTTCGTAGTAATTACTTGA